GCAGGCGCTGGTATGATGTGTAATGCTGTGTCCTAGTCTGACATGCTATGAAATGTGTTCCGTTGCTATGGTGCGGTGTCATGATCTGTGTATGGTATGATAGGCTATAGTGTGTTATGCCGCGCTCTGTCATGGTATGAGCTGTCAGTGTATGGAATGCTATATGGTGTGATGCTGTGCTACGGTGTGCTCGATGATGCCATAACGCGTTATGGTATGATATGTTCTAGCATGGTATAGTATGGTATAATATGGTATGGAATGAGGTGTGGTGGTATGCGCTGCATGGCTCATTGCTTCATATTCAATGGGTTTATGATATGGTGTGATAGGCTATAGTGTATCATCATGTGCCGCGCTCTAGCATGTTGTGAATTGTGATCTGCCCTGCGATGTTATGTCATGCTGTCGGCGCTGTGATGCTGTGGTATGGTGTGGTGTGTTATGGCATGGCATGTTATGGTATGAGTTGTCCCGCCATGCTATGTTATGGTATGTATGGTGTTGCCTGACATGGCGTGTGTTGTTATGTTGTGGCGTGTACAATGTGGTGTCATAGCTTAGTCCGTCATAGCATGTGTTAAGATATGATATGGATGTCATGTGAGACTGAGACCTGGTCTGTATTGGTATGGCCAGTTCTGCGATGTGTTAAAATGGTATGGTTGCTTTGTCGTTTTATGGAATGTGTTGTGTTGCGATGCCGTGCTATGGTGTACACTGTTCCCTCATGTGCTTTGATGCTACGATGTCATGTCATGATATATGGTACGGCGTGATCGGATACGTGCTGTTAGGTGGTGTGCTGTTATGCTCTGTTCTGGCATAGCTAACAAGGCTGTGCTGTACGATGTTCTGCTATCTGACATGCTGTGATGTGTCGGCGCTAAGCGGTACACTCGGGAACACTCGGAAGACCTGGGGATCTGGCGGCCGCGGGCTGCAGAGCGGCGCGAGGCTGGACTCCCGGGACCACTCGGAAGACCTGGGGATCTGGCGGCCGCGGGCTGCAGAGCGGCGCGAGGCGGGACTCCCGGGGAGCTCAGTGGCCTGGGGATCCGGCGGCCGCCGTATGCGGAGCGGCGCGAGAAAGGGACTCTCGCGGGGACACAATCGGGAGACCCGGCTCTCCCGCGGCCGCGGTGTGCAGAGTGGCGCGGTAGGCGGGACTCGTGTGGCTACGCGGGCACCACGGTGGCTGGCGGCCGCGGTGATGCAGAGCAGCACGGGGCGGTACCCTCGGGGGCAGTCGGGTGGCCCTTGGATCTGGCGGCCGCGGCATGCAGGGTGGAGCGTGTCGGGGGGTAGGTTCTCAAATTCTACGGACCCCAAGCTGACGGGTCGGGGAAACAGACTGCCGCCGCGGGCGCTCGTGTTCGCACACAGCGGGGTGCCCAAGAGAAGGTACGTTAGATGCAGAATCGGATGTGTGACTGTATGGGCGTCTACCGATATATGCAATTGAACACATAAATCATGTGGGCATGCATAGCAGCCTACATGCACATATACATACATACATCGCATACAGGCATACATACACGCATACATACATCATACATATATACGTATATACGTACATACGTACATACGTACATACGTACATACATACATACGTACATACATACATACATACATACATACATGCATACATGCATACGTACATGCATGCATACATGCATACATGCATACATGCATACATGCATACATGCATACATGCATGCATACATACATACATACATACATACACAGACAGCTCGACAGGCAGGCAGATCTACAGACCTACAAACATACATACCTGTATACGAACACACATACCTACATACAGACATACATGTGTACGTAAATACATATTTACATACCTACATACATGCATGCATGCATAAATACATACACACATACGTACACACAGGCATACATGCATACATACGTGTGTATATATATATACACACACAAACCTCCAGACACATATGCACACATACATATATATATATATATATATATATATATATAGGCCGGTGCACCCACCATGAACCCCCCTTTTCTCTTGGAAGATGCGAAGAAAAAAGGGGGGCGGGGGCGGTTGGAGTTTCGGGTGTCGCGTCGTGTTGTGGTGGCAGGATCTGGAGTACATGTGTGTGTTGGAGACGGAGGGAGCCTGTTGAGTATCGGGTGTTGTGTTGGAGAAGGAGGCTGTTGAGTACTGGGTGTTGTGTTGGAGACGGAGGGAGTTGAGTGGAAGGTTATTTTCAAGTTCAGCTTGGGGAGGGAGCCTGTTAAGTATCGGGTGTTGTGTTGGAGAAGGAGGCTGTTGAGTACTGGGTGTTGTGTTGGAGACGGAGGGAGTTGAGTAGAAGGTTCTTTTCAAGTTCAGCTTGGGGAGGGAGCCTGTTGAGTATCGGATGTTGTGTTGGAGAAGGAGGCTGTTGAGTACTGGGTGTTGTGTTGGAGACGGAGGGAGTTGAGTAGAAGGGAGCTCAACAAGTCTTCCAAAAAAGAGCCTCAAAAGTGAGTCCGAAAATCGTAGGAATCATATATAAATTCATATATAATCATGAGAAAGGGGGGTTCTTGGTGCAGCTTGGGGAGGGAGCCTGTTGAGTATCGGGTGTTGTGTTGGAGAAGGAGGCTGTTGAGTACTGGGTGTTGTGTTGGAGACGGAGGGAGTTGAGTAGAAGGTTCTTTTCAAGTTCAGCTTGGGGAGGGAGCCTGTTGAGTATCGGGTGTTGTGTTGGAGAAGGAGGCTGTTGAGTACTGGGTGTTGTGTTGGAGACGGAGGGAGTTGAGTAGAAGGTTCTTTTCAAGTTCAGCTTGGGGAGGGAGCCTGTTGAGTATCGGGTGTTGTGTTGGAGAAGGAGGCTGTTGAGTACTGGGTGTTGTGTTGGAGACGGAGGGAGTTGAGTAGAAGGTTCTTTTCAAGTTCAGCTTGGGGAGGGAGCCTGTTGAGTATTGGGTGTTGTGTTGGAGAAGGAGGCTGTTGAGTAATGGGTGTTGTGTTGGAGACGGAGGGAGTTGAGTAGAAGGGAGCCCAAAAAGTCTTCAAAAAAAGAGCCTCAAAAGTGAGTCCGAAAATCGTAGGAGACATATATAAAATCATATATAAGCATGAGAAAGGGGGGTTCTTCGTGGGTGCACAGGGCTATATATGTATTTATAGGTGTGTGTGTGTCTGTATACATGTGTATATGCATAGATGCATACGTGCAGACATGCATACAGCATGTACATACACGTACAGACAGGCATGCAGACACACACATGCACACCGACATACATACATACCTGCATGCATGCATACATGCCTGAATACATACACACATGCAGGTACACAACCATACATACATAACTACATGCATGCATGCATACGTATATAGATGTATGCATACATCCATAAATATATACCTACACATGTTCAAACATACACGCATACATGCATACAGCCATACAACCACACAAGCACACACACACATACATGCAGCCACGTGCATCAAAAACATGCATACAAGCATGCGTGCATGCATGCATGCGTACAAACATGCATGCACGCATACAGGCCTCCATACACGCATACATACATGCAATCAGACATTCATACAGAACTACGTAGATACACACATAAATACATGCATACATGCATGTATGCATGCATACATCGTTGCATACATACATGCATGCATGCAGCAGGCATGCATACACACGTACATAGATGTGTGCATACATACCAGCATGCATACATGCATACAGCATTACATGCACACACGTACGTATACCTCTATACATATAAAATGCATGCACACATGCATACCTACATACATGCATAACTACATACATGCACCCATACATACATACATTCATATATACATACACTCAGACATACTTACACACAACCGTTAATCCATCCATCCATGCAAACATACAGACATACATACAAAATACCGAACTCTAGACATGCGTACAGACATCGATGCACGCATAAAGTCACACAAACATACATACATGCATGCATGCATACATCCATACACCCATGCACACATGCATCACACAGACATTCATGCATGTATGTGTGCGTGTCTGCATACATGCATACATAACTACATACACTCGTACAGCTATCAAAAAACATGCATATGTACATTCATGCATATATACATGTATATATGTATGTGACTGCATGCATCAATGAATGCATAACTACACACATGCATACATTATCTATATATATGCTCATACATACACACGCATACAAACATGCATGCATACATACATACACACATGCATACGTGCATACATACATACATGCGTGCACACATGCATGTATACACATACATATACATGGACACATAAATACATACATACGTACGTACATGCATGCATAGCGGCATACACACATACATACATACATACATACATACATACATACATACAAACATACATACATACATACATACATACATACATACATACATACCAACATGCATACAAACATACACACACATACATACATACATGCATGCATACAGGCATGCATGCATTCATACATACATGCATACATAGCTACATATCTATCTATATATGTATATACATATATACATGCATGCGTGCATGTATGAATGTATGCATGTATGCGTGCACTTGAAAATGTATACATACATACATGTATACATACAGACAGACAGACAGACAGACAGACAGACAGACAGACAGACAGACAGGCAGGCAGGCAGGCAGGCAGGCAGACAGACAGACATGCATACATACATACACATAGTAGGAGGAGCGGGAGGAAGCTGATTGAGAGCGGGGCGGAGGCGGATAGGCGAATCTGTGTCTGGGCGAGGAGGGCAGAGAGGGGGCGGGGCGGCGGAAGAGGAGAGCAGGCGAAGAGAGGGGGGGAGAGGAGCGGGGGGGGGAAGGAGGAAACGGATGGGGGGGGGCCGAGACGGAAGAGACTGGCGTTGAGGAGGCGGGGGGGGGGGGGAAGGGCAGGAGGAGGACGACGACGGAGAGGACGAGGAGGAGCAGGAGGAGGACGAGAACGGAGAGGAGGAGGACCGGGCGGAGGACGAGGGGGAGGGGCGCCGGAGGACGGAGGCGCAGCCGCCCAGGAGGAGCCAGCCGCCGCCGTCCGCGGAGGCACGGCCCGAGCGGAACTGGCGATCTCGCGGCCCGCCGCACCGTGAGCCCGCGGGACCTCACCGCGCGGCCTTCGCCGCGCAGTCGGCCCCGCCCGCCAGGATGGCGACGTTCTCGGGCGTCACCCGCTTGTCGACGTAGCACGTCAGGGACGCGTCCGCGAGCCCGAGCTCCTCGCGGAGCCAGGCGACGCGGCCCAGGTCGAGGATGCGCTTGGCCATCATGCCGAGCCGCCGCTTGGCCACGCCGTCGACCTGCTGCGCGCCGCTGCCCCCGACGGCCCAGCCGGCCGCGGAGGCGAGCTGGGCGAACTCCCCGACCGTCCCGCACAGGCCGAGCCGCCGCACGAACGGCACGTTGACGTAGCTGGCGGCGTCGCAGCGATGGTGGCAGCAGGTGGCCATGCAGACGGAGAGGTCCGCGCCCGTCCCGCGGGCCGAGCCGTCGCGCGGCAGGGCCCGCAGCAGCGAGCGCAGCGCCACGTCGGTGCCGCCGCCGCACAGGTGCTTCGCGCAGGCGAGCACCTGCGGGGGCGGCCACGGCGACGACTGCAGCTCCGCGGCGGCCCTCCACTGCTCCTCCAGGCGCTCTGCGGGGCCGCCCCCTGGCCCGCTAGCCGCCGGCGCGAGGACCGTCCCGTCGGCACCGCCCCCGCTGGCGACGGGAACGCCGTCGAAGTCGCGAGCAGTCGGCAACGACGCGCTCTGCAGGGGCGGCCCCAGAAGCGCCCCAAGGTCAAAATCGGCCACGTCCAGGCGCAGCCGCAGGATGCGCTCCTCCCGAGTCCCCTGGCGGTTCTCTATCTTGTGCCTGCGCGGCTCGCGGTCCACCAGGACGCTGCGCCGCCCGGGCCTAAGGGCCAGCACCGCCGCGGCGAGCCCGGCGCGGCCGCAGCCGTATTCCACCACCACCGCGTCGCCGTGCAGCCCGCCGCGGCACGCCGCCTCGGCCAGCGCGAGGTTCTGCGCCTCGTGCTTCTCCGCGTGCGCCACCCCGCCCGCCTCCGCCAGCACCGACCAGTCCAGCAGCTCGTCCGGACTGGCCTGCGGGCCCAGCACCTCGAGCACCGCGCCCCGGAAGGCAGACGCCAGCCTCTCCGCCCAGCCCTGCCCCGTGCACGGCTCCGATTCCCCGGGTGCCGGGGCGGCGACCGCCGCCTCTGCCGCCACGACGCCCACGCCTCCCCCGTCGCCGGCGTTGGCGCCCCTGCGGTAGAAGGGCTGGTGGGTCACGAAGGAGTCCTGCACCGCCTTGCTGCAGACCCTCAGGTGCTGCTGCAGCTTCCTCTCCCACACGGTGTGGCCCGGGTCGAGCGGGCACGGCACGCGTCTGTCCGAGCTGTCGGCGATGCGATGCGCCCCACAGAAGGCGAGCCCCGGCTCCACTCGGCACCGGCATCGGCGGCCCTTGCCAGCCAGGAAGAACGCGCACCTGCCATTCTCTGGCGCCGCCGTATCGGCCGCCTCTGGGACGGGCGGCGGTGGCGGCACCGCCGCGTGGGTCATCGCAGCATGGGCGGGCCGCGGAGCGCCAGGCGTGGGGTGTGCGCCAGGCCCGGGGCGCCTTCCGCCGAAACGGCTACGTATCCCCCCCTCAACTGCACCACCACGGCAGGCACCCTCGAGCAGAGCCCCCTCGCGGCGGCGTGGGAGACCACCGCGGCCTCTCGCAGGCGCGAGTGCCCACGGGCTGCGCTGGGAGGGCGGCAACGACACGCAGGCAGACACTTTGGACTCCTCCTCCTCCTCCTGCTCCTCCTCCTCCTCCTGCTCCTCCTGCTCCTCCTGCTCCTCCTCCTCCTCCTCCTCCTCCTCCTCCTCCTCCTCCTCCTCCTCCTCCTCCTCCTCCTCCTCCTCCCGCGGACGGCCGACTTCCGCCGGCGCCGCGCCCGGCCCGTTGCTCTGCCGCGCGCGAAGCGCGCCGCGTCCGGCGCCGCCGGGGGGCTGCGGGGAGGGGCCCCCGCCGCTGCCAGGAGTATGACGTCCGCGGACGTCCAGGGGATATACTGCAGGTCCGTGCCGTGTCGACCCCGGCGTTGGTTCCCGACACCGCGCTGGATCGTTCAACCTTGAACGATCGGCCGCTGCCGCAACGTCCGATCGTTCAACATCGACCGATTCTGGGCCGCCGGCGGCGTTCAACGTTGAACGTCGGCGGCGGGGTCGCCGCCGGTCGACACGACGCGAACCTACCGTAGAGGAAAGAGAACTATGCACATACACCGATTCTGGCCAGGCCCATCCTGAGCCCAGGATCGGTGCATACGCCCGCTACCCTGGCCAGGAAGGTATATGCACCGATCTTGGGTCAAGGACGAGCCTTGCCAGGATCGGTGCATGTGTATACCTCTCTTCGCCCGAGGAATAGGTTTGCGTGTGCATTGCTCACCTGGCCAGCAGGCAGTTTCCCACCTGACCAGCTCTTCCAGCTGCATCCGGCGGTGGCGACGAGGGCCCCCCCCCTCGAGAACTGGGAGGGCAGAAACTCCACCCCCCATAATGATCACCCAGACAAGCGAGGCCGTCTCGCAAACGCACCCACAAAAGGAACCGAACAGGGCAGGGCTGTTTAGTAAACGCCCAGGGACGTTTAGTGAACGCCAGTGGTCCGGTCCAGCTTCGAGAACTCTCCCCCATCGGGAGCGGCCAAGAGGGGGGTGTCCAAGAGGGGGGGGTGCAAATCATGACCGGCGACATTTGCGCGGCCCAGCGGGGGGGCCAGGGACGTAATGAAAAAAGAAGAGGCGCCATGAAACCTGGGGAAATATCATGGCCCACGCCATGATATCCACCCCTCCCTAATCATCACCCCCCTCTTTGCCGCCCCCGACCCCATCCCGTGCTCGCAGAGACGGTGGCCTGCTTCTGGGCCCGCCGCACGCGCCTGCGAAGAGCTGGGGGGCACGGGCGCTCGGAGGGCGCCAGGCTATACTCAGGAGGGGAAAAAACACACAGACACAATGAGTTGTAGATTCCCCAGGAAATATTGGAAAATATGGGAAGTGGGGGGGAAGACAAAAACCCAGAAAATATAGGAAAAGATTGGGAATCCTCTTATTTGTGTGTATTTATTTGTGTGCCCTTGGGCCCCTTGATATACGCCCACACCAGTGCGCTGGCCAGGCCGCTCCTGAACCCTCGGGATCGGTGCGCACATACGCTCATGGCCAAGCCCAGGGGGGCGTGTGCACCGGCCCTGGGCCCAGGATGAGCCTGGTCAGGATCGGTGCGCGGGTGGCTTGTTGGACGTCCTCTCAAGAACTCTCCCCCAGGAGGGCCGGTGGGCGAGGAAATCCCAGCAGCCCCCCGGGCGTAGGTGGTCTAGGGCGGCTCCTCTTCCATCCCCATTCTTCCCCTTCGGGAGGGGTTTATTACTGTTCCTTTTAATAGACACCCCCTCCCCAAGGAGGGCCGATGGGCGGGGAAATCATTCTTTACCGCCCCCCCCCGTAGCGTCCGTTAGGGGTGGGGAGGGGGCGGGCTCGGGACCCCGTGGAGGGTGCAACCGTAACGTGGTCGGACTCCGCGGGGGGGTCCACAGGCGCCAAATGACCACGACGACGACGAAGACGACGACGACGACAACGAGGAAATTGAGAACGACGATCACGACGGCCACGACGACCGCGACGACCACTACGACCACGACGACGACAAGGACCACAAAGACGAGGCAACGTGAGGGGATAACGGTAACGAAGTCGGACCCGGGCGCCAGACGACAACGAATACGACGACGACGACGACGACGACGACGACGACAACGACGACAACGAGGACGACGACGACGACGACCACGACGACGACGACGACCACGACGACGACGACGACGACGACGACGACGACGACGACGACGACTACGACCACGATGACGACAATGACGAGGCCCCGTGAAGGGGTAACGGTAACGTGGTGGACCTGGGCGCCGGACAGACGACGACGACGACGACGACGACGACGACGACGACGACGACGACGACGACGACGACGACGACGACTACGACGGCGACAACGACGACAACGAGAACGCCGACGACGACGACCACGACGACGACGACGACCACGACCACGACGACCACGACGACAACGACGACAACGACAACGACGACAACGACGACGACGACGACCAGGACGACAACGACGACCACGACGACGACGACGACGACGATCATGACGGTGACGACGACGGCCGCCTTTGGAAGATCTGGAGAAGTCTTCGGAAACCTCAGGAGGTGTCCACAGGCCTCTGGCGGCGTCTGCAGACCCTCCGATGCCTGTCATAACCACACCATGCCTGCGAGCACGGGTCGGCATCTTCCCCCGTACATTCGCTACGCTTACGGGGATTGGGGGGGGACGGGGGGCACTCCCCCCAGCAACGGACATGAAAAACGTTTCGGGGCCGAAACCACCATCATCGTCACCACCACCACCATCAGCAGCATAATCCCGCGTCGTCCTCCTCCCCATTCTGCCCCTCCTCCGAATATTGCTTCTACTGCTACCATGACCGCCACCACGCATATTGCCACTCCCACTGAAAGTACTGTTAGTAACCCTACCTGCGACTACTACGCCGAAGACTACCCAGTCTACCACTACCACCACCACTACCACTACCACTACAACTGCCACCACGACGACAAAGACGACGACGACGACGACGATGACGACCACTACTACTACTACTACTACTACTACTACTACTACTACTACTACTACTACTACTACTACTACTACTACTACTACTACCGCCACCACCACCACCACCACCACCACCACCACAAACCACCACCACCACTACTACTATCTCTACTGGCTAACTGCTACTACTGCTGCTGCTGCTGCTGCTGCTGCTGCTGCACTACTACTACTACTACTACTACTACTACTACTACTACTACTACTACTACTACTACTACTACTACTACTACTACTACTACTACTACTACTACTACTACTACTACCACTACTTCTACACTACTACTACTACTACTACTACTACTACTACTACTACTACGACTACTACTACGACTACTACTACTACTACAACTACTACTACTACTACTACTACTACTACTACTACTACTACTACTACTA